TAATGTTTTTAAAGTGCTCTGACATGTGCTTTAAATAGTCTGTGGATGCTGATGAGGTGTGTCACCTCAGGAAGACCCAGCTCAACTGGTTTACAGTTCATTTGTCACTGCTCAAGTAATAAGAGTTCATGAGTAGAAGCATTAAAACGTGACCTCTGTTCTGTAGCGACTGACAATGCAGCCAACAAAAACAGAAATAACTCACTGAATTGCACACAACAGGGGAAAAAGACTGGTACGTGTGAGATTTCCCACTATTTCTTGAAGTCAGTATGGCAAATACACTATACAGACAAGAGTACCACCTAAAAAAACACATAGAGAAGCAGATCATCCAGTCTTTAAGGAGCTTACTTTGTGCACTATGTACTGACCCAGCAGGCCTGTGCCAAATATGTATTTTAATAATAATAATAATAATAATAATAATAATAATAATAATAATACAGCAGATTTTTTTGTATCAATAACTTCTCAGTAATTCTGAGCAATCATTTCAGTTTGTTTTTGAAGGTTTGATCATATGTAAGCCGTTCTCCGTTTCCCTCTCCTGTGAACAGCTGCTCTAAATCAGATACAAAAACCGGAGCGGAGCAGCAGGAGGGAGACAGAAAGCTCTTACTCCTGTTTAAACAGCTGATATATTTTTACACTAAACATCATGAATCAAGGACCAGCTGATCTTACTGTGAGCGAGGATCACAAACACCGGGATGAGCTTCATTTCCCACTACAATCGAATCCAGAACAAGCCGAACCGCTGCGCCGCTCAAAGCAAAAACAAAAAAGCAAAAAAGCTTTCTCTTTCACTTTCCATTAGACTTTTGATCCCAATCCCAAGAGACTTAAAATCCCAGTGACTAATGGTATTGGCATAATAGCAATATTGATATGGTTTCACTGCATGTGTAGGCAGGGGTGGTAATATATTTACATTCATGCAGTAACACTTTTACAGTGGACATGAAACACTACATATATAAAAGTTAATGGTGCCCTGCTCTAAAAAACTGTCTGTGAACCTCTAGGATGTAAATTAGCATTTATAAACACAGTGTTTCATGTCAAATTTAAAATGTTAATGATATAATAAAATCTGTGATTGTGAATTATTTTCAAGGTTTAGGAGTGGATTAAAAGACGCATTTAATTTTTGTGACACATCCATTATTAGGATTATTCGGTATTTATAGTGCACTTCTCAACACTGTAACAGGAGTGTATGGTAGCACAAAAGTCTACAGTTACACTTTTTCATTGGCTCTGCGGTTCAGTACGGCTGAGCTGAATAGACTGAAGCCTAAATGGTTTTCCTCCTTCATTATCAATAAAGCCTTTCTCTTATAGCATCTCTGACTGTAGTGTTTTCAGTCACAGAGATCATATTTACATATTAACATATTGAGTTTCATCAGGGGCATCACAAAGATGTTGTTCAAAAGGTGTAATCCAGATACCAACAGGAAACTTGACTACCAAAATACACATTTCAGAATGCTCCAGCGCACGGCTCTCCTCTCCAAACTGTCATGAGCCGAGGAAGCGTCTGGTATTTTTCCGCTCTCATCCTGTGTCTACCTGTGTCTGCCCTGGTTCCTCACCTGCCATCCATTGATGACAATGCGCTTAAGCCCCGCGCAGTCGTCTATTTTCTGCCAGTTTGTCAGCTACCTCTGGTGGTAACCAGGCATTGTTGCATCCTGTTTCTGTGTTCATTCACTGTACTTACCTCTAGTTTCCTTGTCAAGTTGCCACTTTAGTCACCTGCAGCTCAGTTATCTGGATGCTGGCCTCCTTGGTAAGATTCTCTGCATCTCTCTGCAACCCGCTGCATTCTTAAACAAGGTTTAAGAGTGTTTCTGGGAATTTTTGACCATTTTTGAGGTCAGACATTGATGTTTGATGAAAAGTCCTGGCTAAGAGTCTCCACTCTATTTCATCCCAAAGGTGATAAAGCTGAATAGAACATAGAATATGTCGCCATATAATCCTATAATATACACACAGCTGTACAAATTATCGTTTGCATGGAATATTCTAATTGCATTTTGTGATGATGGCAGATAACAAGATTCTGTGAATTATTCCATGCTTGTTTTACAGCATTGAAAGCACAGGCAGTGGCTATATTGTTATTCTTCATCACTAATTCCCTGAGTCAGGAGTGGGTAATTTGTGGACCTGGTACCTTTGTCAAAGTCTCTTATGAAAATAAACAACAATCTAATGTTACTTCTAGACCGTTTTCTGTTGATAGTAGACTTTCCCTCTGTTGAACAGTTTCTTTTATGCTGTGCTCTAAATGTGCTTGAGTGCAGAAATCCAGTTAAATTCACCTATTTAAAAAAAGCAAACATGCACACATTAAATTCAAAGTAAATGCAATTTATCTCTTAGTGTACCTTTAAAATGTGTAAAGGACATTTAATTTAGTGTATGACGCATCTGTGTTTCTGACTTTGCTCCGGCCATCATTAGAGGTTAACACCATCAGAGCTCTGCTGCTGTTGCTGTACCCACATTCTCACCAAAACACTTCCCCTTCATTCCTCAGAAGAAAATAATGCAATGAGGAACAAACATGTGTCACAGAAGTTAAGAAATGCCATCTTAACTTCGTGACTACTCTTAGACATCAACAGCCAATTTCTGTTGAAGTTTTCTCTTCCTCAGCATAAATTCTGAAAACGAAATAAGAACATATCCTGGTGAAAAAGTAATAAGAGCTACAAGTATTTACACAATCGCATTCATCATCTTCTCTTTTTTAAGGCACCAAATACATCACTGTGACAAATGCACTGTTTGGCTGTGGTTAGTTATTCATTTTAAATTTACAGAGTCATTGACAGCCTGGTGTGACCGCTGACCTCTGTAATATTGTTTGCTTCAGATGCTGATTATAAACAACAGAAGATTAAGAATTGAAATTGTCAAAGTAAGGACTCTCTATATTTTTATGAACAGTTACAGTGAGGGTGAGATGATAACCACAGGAAGTCAGCACAGCCTCTACATGAAGCTCTGTTTCAGAGACTGTGACTGTCATTTTTGTGAAAAGCAGGAAGGAGAAAGACAGACAATGACGACTCAGTTCAAATGGATTAAAGTCTTTTCATCAGTTTTACTAATGCTTCAAGTAACAAGTAAGAATACAAATACATTTATAAATGAAATTAGAAAAGTCAAGTTTACACAGTTGATTTGATTTTATCTTCACAGCAGCAGCAGTTGAGTTTATTATCAGGGATGAAGGTGAGGTCACTTTATCATGTGAAAATGATGATCAAGATAAATGTGACAGAACTCACTGGCTCTTCAGTAAATCAAACACAGCGACAATAACACTGTTTGAAAACGGGGAGATACGCCGAGAGGCCAAAAATAAATCAGACAGACTGAGTGTTACAGCAAAATGTTCTCTGGTTATAAAGAAGCTCACAGCTGAGGATGTTGGTCAGTACACCTGCAGAAGGTTCAACAAATCAGGACAAAAAGAAGGTTCAGACTCTGTAGCTGAGCTGTCTGTTGTTAACCGTGAGTATTTCATCATAATGTTTTCAGATTGTTAGAACATCAAACTGAAACATTACAATAACTATAACTACAGTGATGATTACTGTAAATGTTATTCTTGTTCTCTTTTCTTTTCTTTAACAGTAACTGAACATAAGGAGGATGACACAGTGACATTAAACTGCTCTGTGTCCACATATAAAAAATGCAAATACTACACTGTGAAGTGGCTCTATGGTAACAAAGACCTGAGGATGTCACAGTCTGCCTGCTCAGCCAGTGTGATCTTTACAAGATTTGATCACATTTACACATCCAAGAGTTCTGAGATGTTGAAGTGCCAAGTGACACATGGTGGAGACGTGCAGGAGTTTATCTTCAGGATTCAATCTTTTGACCAGGAAATAGGTGAGAATGCAATTAGTTCTTACAGTAACTTCATCTGTTATGAAATGTAAAATGTTCTATGTGATTTTAAGATTTCATTTACTGATTTTTACTTTGAGAGTGTCCTCAAAAGACAAAATAGCAGCACTGTTCTGTGTTTAATCAGGCTTACGTTATCATGATAGAGAAACACTAGTCTTGTGTTCCTCATGAGCAGGCAGGGAATCTAATAGCTATTGAATCCCTGAAATCAGGCCGTGTGACTTAAGTGCTACTAACTGTTCGTACTCCTCGCTAGACCCCAGCAGCTCTTCTTCCCGAGGCACCACCACACAAAAAATGACTCTTTATCACTTCTGAGGGGTTAAGGCTGCTGATCTAATATTTGCTCACATTGTTCTGTCATAATGGATTCAATGGGGAGAGTGTGATGTCTGAGCAAAAAAAACTAAACACAATCTAAATAACAATAGAGATTAGCTCAACATATCATGGCGGACACTAAGTACTGAGACAATGACTAACATACGAACTTGACAGAGAAGGGAAGGAAAAAGAACAAAAGACTAAACCAAATAACCTCAAAACAGACTTGAGACTCAAGCTACTTGAACAAATGTTACCCAAGTACAAACAAACTAAGAACCACACGGAGCATTAAATACTACAGAGAATTCAAAAGTAAGTAAACCTGTATTCATAAAATTCAGCGCTTTCAATAACTTCATCTGTTACGACTATTAAACTATTCTGTGTGGTTTTAAGATGTCATTTGCATTTATACACTTTGAGGAATATCCTGCAGAGAGGTTGTAATGGGGGCAGAAGCAAAAAGAGAAGTCAGGTTCATGATGTTAAAGATCTACAGCAACATAGATTTTATCTAAACATAACCAGAATCTTCCATTTGATTGTTGAGGGGGCTTTTGTTGAGAAAAGAACAGAAAACTATATTTAAAGTATTTTAATGTGTTTTTTATTTTCTTTCCAGGCTGGTGCTGGTGGAGGTTCATCATTGTGGCTGTGGGTGTAGCAACACTCATAACAGCTGCTGTGGTCATCCACATTTGGACAAGATTGGCAGGTGAGAACATTCACATTTAAATGGGAAGATTTGATAAACCTGGATATTCTCTCTGAAAGCTAAGTTTGTTTCCTTCTCTTGTCTTTTTAAGGGAATAAAAGTTCAGCCGTATCAAAATGAGGTGAGTTTTTGTTGCATTGAGCTAAACAAACTCAGAATGTGTTTTCTGTCTTTTTATCTCTGAAAAATGTTTACAGCTCTAATATTTGTAAATCACATTTTCAGAGGAAAACCAAAATGCATCTGCATGTTTAAATTTCCATATAGGAAAGATAATATAAAAAAAGAGCAAACTGAAGCTTCAGGTTCAGTTTTCATGTTGAATTCTTCTATTTATTCAATGCTCATGTTCATTATAGTTTAAATAAATCACATTTTGTGCCTAATGGTGTTAATGTAATGTCATGGATGTCTTTACAGTTTATCACTTTTAGTTTGTGCTACATTGATGCCCAAAGATCACAAAAGCTATATCATGTTGAAGTCTAATGTCCAGAGAGTGAATGAGTTTGTCATCATGCTGTATGTCACAGGTATGTAATGATGAAATTTTCGACAGTGAAATATGGAAGTAGAAGATCTGATGGACACTGACTGATCCTTCTGCGTCTGTCAGACTTCAGTAATGTGATGGAAAATGTTAAGATTCTGTGCTTCTCTTTGTTATACAGGCCTAACTGAAATGAACGATGCATCTCAGTGTGTTTGTCTCCATATTATTTTGTAATACAAGACATACTCAGCTGCATGTAATGTTCTGACTGTATTCTGTGACTGGCAGGTAGATAAGGCGTTTCTATAAATGATTCGATTCTTGTTTTTATTCTTAATCTAAAGAAATACATACTGCTGCTGTACTCTGTGTTGTTGTTTGTCTTTGCAACGGCAAATAAAAAACCTCAGAAAATCTGTTTGTGAAGACTGATTTATTTCAAATTAACAGAACAAACTTGTGTCAGTGATTTCTGGGTTTGACTGGGGTCGACAAAGCAGCAACCAATCATTCTGGAAGGCAGCCTTTCCATCCGCACAAGATGGGATTTCGAGATTACGTGCACCAGACTGAAGTAACCGGACATTTATAACCTTGGGAAAAACGTACAACACAACACGACATATTAAATTAATAAGTATTAATAGTAATAATAGTAATAAAATGATGAATATGTGTATTGCACACTGTTATTATTGCACATTAATTATTGTTGCACTTTGTTATAATTATAAATATTATTATTGTTATTGTTGTTACTCCCCCCCCAGGGAGTCCAGGGAGGTAGCCAATCAGGTCAGCTGTTAGCAATGATTGTGGGGCAATTGCTCTGCTGTAAAAGCTGTCCTTTAGTCTGTTTGAACGGGACCTCAGCAGCCTGAATCTCCTGCCAGACAGCAGCAGCTTAAACACCCGGTGTTCTGGTGTGTGCAGTCCCGTAGGATTCTGCATGCCCTCTTGCGACAGTGCTGAACAGGGGGGTAAGAGTATGTCCAATGATTTTTGGGGCCATATTAATGACCCTCTGAAGTGCCTTTTTGTGTCCCATGGTGCAGCTGGAGAACCATACAGAGATGCAGTATGTAACTACACTGTCAATGGAGCAGCGGTAGAAGACGAGCAACAGCTCCCTCTTCAGGTCCATTGTTCTGAGGATTCTCAGAAAGTGGAGAAACTGTTAGGCCTTCTTTAAAACCACCGAGGTGTTTTAGCTCCGTTGGAGGTCTGACTCTATGTCCACACACTCCCCATTGATGCTGACAGGCTGCAGACTTCCTCCTTCAGTGTTAAGGCTGAAGGATGAGGCCCCACTCTAACTCTCTGTACACGGTCTGACAGGAAGTCTCCGATCCAGCGGCAGGTAGTAGAAGGAAGTCTGATATCCAGCAGTTTAACTATCAGCCTGTCTGTGAGTATCGTATTGAAAGCAGAGCTAAAGTCAACAAAGAGCAGCCTGGCGTAACACCCTGTTGTTCCAGGTCAGAGATGGTGGTGTGGAGCATTGTAGGAATGGCATCTTCAGTTGATCTGTTAGCTCTGTATGCAAACTGGAGCGGGTCAAGTGTGGGTGGCAGGCAGGACATGATGTGTTGTTGGACCAGTTGCAATGTCACATTGAGGCTGATAATGTTGGTTCTCTTTGGCAGTGGGACAATTGTGGCCGACTTTAGCGAGATGCAGGACTGAGACAGTGAAACATTGAAGCTCTTAGTGAAGACCCGGGCCAGCTGGTCTGCATATTCTTTTGGAAATCTTCCGGTCACCCCATCTTGACCGGCGGCCTTCCTGGGGTTCACTCCTCCTAACAGGAGTGTATGCAGGGATTAGCAACATGCACATGTGGTCTGACAAACCTAGATGTGGTAGATGGGTTGCTCTGTAGCCTTTTTGGATGTTGCCGTAGGCTTTATCCAGTGTGTTTTCCCACCTTGTTGCACATTTAATATGCTGTTCAAATCTGGGAAATACTGACCTTAAGTCGGCATGGCTGAAGTCCCCAGCTATAATGTACTGCACTGCGAATGAAATGGATAAATCTTCTCAGTGAAATTCTAGGTTTTATCTTTGTTTGGATCAAAACCTTGACTCTGCCCCCCAAGTGGCTCCAGCACATGGCACCATCATGAAGTTTTTTTTAAATGTGTGTATGGCAGCTTTTGCAATCAGAATTGTGATCTAAATGCATGGTGGTGCCAAACATTTTTTTATACCTTTATTTAATCTTTTTGTGTTATTTCAGATATTACATTATGTGGAATAGAAACAAATAGAAATGCACAACATATACAACTGCTGTACCTGTCAGAGACAAAAAAATCCACACATACAGCAACTGGAACACAAAAAATGAGAAAATACACAAATACATTAATCAAAATTCTTCCTGTAGAGTGTGAGTGAGAGAGAGAGAATTCCTGCTTCCTTGTCACAAATGTACATGATAACGAGGACAGGAAGCTGCGGCGATGCCCCTCAGAAGCCTGGAAGCAGAAAGAGATGGAACCAGGACAAACATGCCATCCGCAGCTCCCAAGAGTAACAAAGATCTGAGGCCACACATCCCAGGGACATCCATGATCCCATTCCAGCAGGAGAAGAATGGAGGCCCCAGATATGAGTCAAGAGTGGGGTCCCAGGACCACCCAGCACAAACCTGCCCCCGACAAGGGCGAAGTCCAGGCCAACCCAAGCCACCAAGGAAGCATACCAACAGCCATGCACCCCACCAACACGCATCTGCATCCCAGGGAGGGGCAAAAGCATCCAGCGCCAAGCGGTGTCCATGTCCCACCTGGGCCAAGACCCAGCAAGCCTAAGACCCACGACTAGCCATGCGCACACAAACACACACAACATTCATTCATTCACTGTCACACACCCACTAGTGGCACACAGAAAGACAAGGACATGTGCACACACAGTCCGTTCTCACTCCCGAGGCGTAACATGCCGACGTTTTGTCACGTCCCACGGCGTTCCTCAGGAATGCGGAAGGAGACCTTCGGCGTTCTTATGGTACGCGGCGGGTTATGGCTGAAATCCAGTGCAATGACGCTCCCGCAGTAATAGACGTTCCAGCCCTGTATTCCAGCCTGAAACCTAACCTTATCCCTAGTCCTAACCATAACCTTATTCCTGACCTTAACCAGGACTGTAATGATGTTAAATAGCGTGTTTGTAAGCGATGTGAAGAAAAAGAGAACATGTAGATTCAGTCCAGACGGTTCTCATATTTCCTCATTTTTCCGAGGTCGTCATTTAGGAACGTGGTGGGTAGCCGAAAACGTAATATGTTGACGATTTGTCACCTAGTGTAAAATGTTACGCTTTGGGAGTGAGAACGCGTTGCGCACACATTGACCCCCCCTCTCCTATGCCGCCCTGAACGAGCAGCAAGGATGAAGCTAAAGTGAACCACAAGACCCCCGTGAGTGTGAAATAACCATATAGGAAAATGCCTCCTCCCCCACCACACCCCCCGACACACACACACTTATTGTTGAAGGCGTTATTTGAAGTTGATGTACAGCTACCCATATGGAAAAGATATATATAAATCTTATAAAGTTTGTATCTGTCACGGTCTGCAGAGACAGGCCGTGCGGTGGTGTGTGTAATGGACCCAGGTGCGTACACAAGTGAGTAGACGGGAGTGAACTTAACAGAAAGCGAGCCTTTATTATGGCTGGAGACAAGGTGTACAAACAAAGCAAGGATAGCGTGGTTAGGCTATAACTAAACTGGGAAAACTAATACTGTGACAAACTAAGGAAACTCAGAGACTATGATGTTTACTGCAAAGACTGACCGGGAAAACATGGAGGTGAGAACACAGACGATGCGACACAGACTGTATGAAACACAGAGACTAAATACACATGAGGGATGATCAGGGGAAGTGGCCACACATGGGAGCACAGCTGACACACATGAACCTAACGACAGGACAGGAGGAGTGAAACTGAATACACTGACAGTGAATACAGACTTTCAAAGTAAAACAGGAAACATGGAGATTAGACATGACATGAACTAAACATAACCATGCAGACATGACTCATGACAGGTAGACGCACGAACCAGGGAGACTGAGTACAGTGGAGGATGACAGAAGCGACAGCATGAACTTGACAACACAAGACACACAGACATAAACACATGAAGGGCAAGGGAGGCTTAATACAAGGGTAATATAATTACAAATGAGCTGGAATAACTTAATGAACCTAAACAAACAATAAACATCAAAATAGACTAAACACAAAACACTGGGTCGCACGACCCAGGACCATGACAGTATCTGTCTTGTGTGAAACTTGTATGAAAAGCATACAAGAGTAAAAACAGATATAAGATCCCTTGAAAAATTACATAATGAAACTTGTATGTTTTGGATACTTACTAAAACAATATATGAAAGAAATGAGAAAGTGGCCACTTTCATGAGTTAGGTCATATAAGTTTTTACTATTTCTTTTCCATATGGGTAGTGCTTTAACATTTCCACATCCCTTTACCACTACTTCTTTTTCAAGTACACATCATGCTCTGACAGTTCATTTTTGTTCCTCAACACTAACCTGAGTGTTTCAAAATGGTGGGAAACCAGTTCAGTCACACACTCAGTGTGCTAATCCTTTGTGGCTAATGAAAATTAACAAATGGGCTGCTGTCAGTGTGCGTGGGGCCAGTGTGCAGAGGCTTTTCATTGACCGATCGGTCAAAAGTGTGTCGGCCAACTAGACAAATGCTCTGTATGGCAGTTTACAAGTCCAGCCCTGTCCGATGCTTTGTATTGCACTTATGTATGGCTTGGATACTGCTCAGCCATGGAAACCCAGAATATGAAGATCTCTACACACTGTTCTTGACCTTATCTGAAGGCTACATGAAATTTGTAAGTAAGTAGCCATTGACTCTACCTCTGTACCTCAGTGCAATCCAATGTGTGGCTGAGTTGCTGTCATTCTCAATTACTTCCACTTTGTTATATTAGCACTAACAGCTAACTGTTGAATATTTAGTGGAAAGAAAATTTCACAAATGGAATTGTTGTACAGGTGGCATCCTATGACGGTACCATGATGAAGTTTGTTGCGCTCCTGAGAACGACCCATTCTTTAACAAATGCTTGTAGAAGCAGTCTGCATGGAGGTGATGGATTTTATACACTTGTGGCCATGGAAGTGATCAGAATGCCAATAATACAAGGTCTTGAATGATTAGGCCCCATCGTACCTTAATGACCTTATAATACCATATGACCACATTACAGCACTTTGCTCTCAGACTGCGGGCTTACTTGTGATACCAAGAGTATTAAAAAGGAGAATGTGAGGCAGAGATTTAGCTTTCAGGGCCCTCTTCTGTGAAACCAGCTCACAGTTTGGATTCAGGACACAGAT